CACTGCACAGTGAAAGCAGCAATCCCTCTTGCTGTTCTGGCTTTTGAGATAGCTGTGCAGCCTGCATTCGCTCCATAAGACGCACACACATTTCCCCTTACTTTTTAGGAGGGAAAAAGTGAGTCTTATAGAGCAAAAAATACAGTACACTGTGAACCAGCTTTGTGATAATGACATCCCCATTTTAAGGAGCTCAAGGACCTCCCCTTACTGACATGGAAAAAGGACCTCATTTTCAATCTCATGCACAGCTTGCATTGAAAATGCAGTGGGGGAATGAGAGAGCTTTAGCTTATTGCATGGGAAATGATCTAAAATCTAGTTTAAATGCATCCATATCAATCATTAAGAAAAAGCCATGGAACAGTGGTTGAAGGAAAGCTGTGAATATCTGAAGTCATAACTATTAGGAGTGCAGACAGGGTTTCTTAAAAAAAGAAAAAAGAAAAGAAAGATAGATCCCACGGGGGAGAAGGTAGGGAATGAAACATTCAGTGCAGTCCCTGATTAAAAGCGAGTCATGCAAGATGCTACACCAGAGCAGCTACAGATCACCTAGGTTCCAATTAAATGGGACAAATGAATGGCTGACAAGTTTCAGATCCCATGCTTTTGATGTCAGAATAATCCATTAAATACAAGAGATGAAACTATGTAGAACGTATGCAGTACAGAGCTACTCCAGAAGCTGGTGGGGCAGGGTTAAAAGCTGGAATTGAAGCGTGGGGAAAAATTGAGGGGGGGACCTCACTCAAATGTCAAATGTAACATTTACAGACTAGCAAAAGTGCATTGCCTCTTGTTCTGTCATTACCTACAGGCGAGTGCCAACAAGAATTACTGGAGGCAGATGACATGCCACTACTGAAAAGTCAAGTCTAGACAGTGACAGCAGAAGAACCGTTTGGTATGGCATAGTTTTCATCACAATGTCACCCACTTTCTGGAGGGCTCAAGTTAATCTTTCATACCTACAGGGAAGCTCCTCTTGCCTCACTTCAGCTGTGCATTACTAGTGATCCCAATGAGGTGATGTGTCTCCATCTCCATTAAGGAAAACATCCATCAAGATGAATGGGGCTTGGGTGTGCATTGTTATGTGGATACATATTGACTGTATGGGTGGAAAAGACTTGTTGAATTGTGAGATTTATTTTATTTTATATTTTTTTAAACCCTCCTAATCCAAACACTTTATGCCATTTCACACATGGCGTTTTCCTACATGAATACTGCTTCTGTTAAAAAAAAAAATGAAACAAAACGGCCTCTGCAATGACGCAAATGAAATACATAAACATGTACCTCGAGCTGTTTACCAAAATGGAAAGCTGCTACATATTAATTTATTCATTGCCTAACAATTTGAAACAAAGAGTCAAACCAGAAGAAAGAGAAGATGTATTTGAGTACTGATGGCATGCATATATATATATATATATATATATATATATATATATATATAATGCTTTCATCCAGAAAGTGCTGAAGTGGAGGCTAAATTAGACATCAAGCTAATTTTGTTTGGAATATCTTCATGCTACCTTTCCATGGCCTGGGCCACCGGTGTATAACAGAAGATTCTTTAGCAGCTGAGGTTGATCACACAACTGATCAGCTCCTAGACTGCCTCTAACTACTAATGCACAGAGGTTGGCTCTCTTTTTCTCCAGTACATTTTCAATAGCTGGGATAGGTTCTCTGGGATTTTTGCATTCTAGCCGATTGCCAGGTTTGCAACTATGCTCAGACCAGCCCCATTTCCCCACTCCCGTTTACCATGTGTATTATAATCATCATTATCTTCAGTTAACTTAATTGCAATTATACTCTGCATATTATGTTCCTCGCTCAAAAATGGATTTAACCAATATAACGCAGAACTAAATCATTGTTGCTCTTATCTTCATCTGCAATCATTTTAACAGCAAAACAGCTTGCACATCCTGTTGCTGCCTTTCTGTGGACCAACAACAGCATTTACAACCCTATCGTCAGTTTGGGACAAATGTGCCATTTTCATGATGGGAGAGCAGAAAATTGTAGATACTGGTATACTCCTGGCTTTTAAAATACCCCTTCCTTCAAGTATAAAAGCCAGAGCATGATGTAGCATTTCTGTTGCGCTACTATTATTTTCAATAATTATTATTATTTCTCTAACCACTGCTCTTTGTGTAAAAAAAATTAAAAAAATGTCTTGAAGCAACAGTTCAAGCACTACCTCTTTGCTTGGTTTGGGTTTAACATTAAACTTTGCAACAATGACCTTGCAAAACAATTAATCTCATAGCCCAAAGCCTTAAAAACTAGCCAGGTGACAAGCTCTACTGGTGGTAACATCTAAGGAGAGCAGGAATCAACGCAGCTTCCGTGCATTTCGGAGCATTGAGATCATGTATATCTGTGGCTAGTTCACTAGTTCTACACACTGAGTGACCACTGTTGCAACAATTAATGCTGCAATTCTGTGTGCACTTACCAGAAGTAACTCTCAAGGAGTTCAGCAGGACATATTTCCACCTGAACATGCAATAAGTATAAGACACAGAAAGGAAGTTTCAAGCCAAGACCTCCAGTGATCAGCCTTTGGTGCCTTAACTCCTGGGCCAGCAGCATTCTAAGCCATCAGCCAGATTATATAGACAATGACACCTAATCTAGGCACTGGCGGAGGAAGAGGTGTGCGGGGGGAGCGCACCGCCCCCGGCAGCACAATCCTGGTGGGGTGCCATACCCCTACGGGTGGTGCGCCACACCCCCAGGATGTGCACCAGCCCCGCCGAACCTGCTCTCCACCCCCCACCCCCTGGTACCAGAGCATGAATCACTGCCACTGCTTCTAGGCTGAGTGCTGATAACCACAGCTTGAAGATGCTGATCTCCCAAACCAATGGAGAGGCACCAGGCCTTATACAGACCTTTGTTTTATGCCAGTCAATAAAACTGAGCAACTGATCACATCACATGACACTAGACCCATATCTGGCTTCCAGCTGCTCCGTGACTACATCTTCTGCTCTGGTCATCAGTTCCTGCCTGCCTGATCCAGTATCTGAATTCCATCTCATTCAGAATCACATCACTGGTCTCTGGCCCTTGTGACCACTGCATTACTCGTCTCATGTCAGACCAAGGAAATTCTGTCTGTGGTATGATTGTTTTCCACCTAGTCATTTTGACACTTTGGCACCCTATTTGCAAAATTTAACAATTCCAAAATGCAGATGCGCTTTCCCTTTCGCAAGATTGAATATGCTGCCTTCGGCTGTACTTGAGGGTTGATTTCAAAAAGCTCTACTGGAAAAATGGTTTTGTCTCTGTGGAGATGGCAGTAGCTTGTGTGCTTTTGGCTTGCACTCTTTATAAAGATTTGAGGAGTGAGGTCATTACCCTTCTATTATTGTCCGTGCCAGGTCACTCAACCATTGCTACTGTGTCCTTTCTTTTAGCAGAACAAGATTATCAAGCAACAGCAAAAACTGCAAGGGTTTTAGTGGGGGCAATTAGAATAAAATCTATTATTTGATTATTGATGTAAACCCCCAAAATGTATTTTCTGTAGTTAAGCTTTTACCTCTAGCTTCAGTACATTTTATTTTATTTTATTGCCATGGCTAGTGGCAGATGCAAATAAAGATTCTTCTGATTATATGGTGACCTGTCAGAAGCAAGGCCAAGACCAGACTACAGCCAAATACACTAAACTCTTACTTTAAAAAAGAAGAGAAAAGCTATGAGAGATAAAAAGGAAGAAGAAGAAGAGGATCTTGGGGAAGGGACACAGCTCAGTAGAAACATATTTCTTTAAATGCAGACAATCCCAGGTTCAGTTCCTGGCATCTTCAGATATGGCTGGAAATGTTCCCTGACTAAAATTCTGGCAAGCCACTGTGAGTCAATGTTGACCTCAATGGGTTGTATGTTCCAATGGTGTGACTTGGTATAAACCAATTTCTCCGCTCCTAATTTCCTACATATTTGTGTGGTGAAGAAGTAACTGCAACAAATTTTCTTGAAATACAACATGTATCAATTTAATTTTCAGTTTAATTGGAGGCCTTCAAACATGGCTGTTTATCTTTAGCACCACAACAAAATCATCTTTGTTCCGTCCTTGAAAAAATGGCACCTCGGTGCTCGACTCTTTGTAAAACAAATGGCGCAATCAGAACCTGCAAAGTTATGTAGTGTCTCTAATGCTTATACTTATATATATTATTATTATTATACTTTTTTCAGAAGTATAATGGAAAAAACTCCCCCCAATTCACAGAAAATGTTCTGCTTTTGTTGTCTTGATATTTCTATTTTAAGGGAAACAAAACCATGAGAACAATTAATTATTTGCTGATATAAAATCTCCAAAGGAAAGTAAAACAAATACTTTGACGGAATCAGTGACTCTATATATGGTTCCAAACAAGTCCGATACACCATTCCGCTCATGCTCTTACATCTATACAAATGTCATCTAGACATGCATTGTTTCACATGGTACCATTAGCTTGTACTCTGGCATTCAATAACCTACTCTGTGGGTATAACTATGAAATCAATATAATTGACTTCAAAAGATTTCAGATCTAGGCAAATAAAAGCATGGGGCAATGGATTGTTAAGACCTATTCAAGACACACTGAAAAAAAATAACTGGGAACTGTTGCTATTATATTGCTATTTTCTTCATACTACACACCAATAATGAAATATTCGGGGGGGGGGGGTACTGAAGTCATTTAGTGGTGTGGAAACTAAATACATTGCTGCAAACACATTGAATTTTTTTTTTACCCTTGGTAACAATAAACCCATACAACGTTTTCTTCTTTTTTATTTTTTTTTATTTTTTTCAGTTTTATAACACATTTAAAGATAAATGTAAAACCCCCACAAATCCTCCAAAACAGGATTCGACTTCCCGGCAATTCTGACACAATGAAATAAATACCAAGCCCTCCTTTGTCAGGAAGGGAGTATGGATTCATCCTTATTCATGGCTATCCTGTGCTCTCACACTGGACACAATACATGCACAGGAGGGCAGTATCATGCAGACACCCAAAGACCGGGGCACAGGCAGGGTTGGACTGAGAAACGGCACTAGGGACTGGAGCAAGGCGCTCAACCTCTGCAGGAAAGGGGCAGCTGGGATCCCTGATGTATATATTTCCCTAACCACCCACGCTAACCTTAGCCACTTCTTTTAATAATCTGTCCCTCTGTTGGAATTTGGGATTACAGAATACCATTATGGGGGGAAATGGAAATCAAAAATTCTGATACAAAAGGGAGACTAAGCAAGTTGCTCTCATTGCTGTCTCCAGCCACCAGCTATTAACCGGTGAGTAAGCACAGAAATGGAGCCGAAGATTCAATATTGTCTGCCATGGAAGAGTTGATGTTTTTGGTACTTTGCCTTCCATAGCGGACAACAATATATGGCCACACACACAAACACACACACTCCTTTGTATCGCAGACTTTCTTACAATTCCCACCTCCCGATGCTGCAACCTCCGCCCCTTGCTATGAGCAGAATATAGGAAGTAAGCAACATACACTCTATTTTGAAAACCCTGTGCATGCAAGCAGGGAAGAGACAACAATCTAAAAGGAAAGTTGAATTTCTATTTTCTACTAGCTAATGCTGAACATATACAGTTCCTGGATGATAATAATAAAAGGCGCACAACTAAAAAGAAATTATGTCTACATATTATTTTTAAAAAATAAGAATTTAAATAGGTTTCATCGGCTATGTGCTGATATTTTTAGATGTATTTATTTAACTGTGTCATTAATACTGTTTAAATATGCTTTATAGTTGCATGTTTCTCTCCCCTCCCCCATCTTAATCAACCTGGTCGGGTTAATATTAGGAGCATGATCCAATCAAAACTTAAGCACATTCACGTCCCAGTTATTTCCGTTAAAGGTTCAGTGTCGATGTTTACATATCATCCCATTGAAATGGGCCTTAAAAGTGCCTAAAATTTGGCTGGATCCAGCCCTAAATTTAAGCTTCATCACCTTTGCATTATGAGGATGATGATTCTGACCTCTTGACAAATCTACTTCATGTTGGACTCGCTAGTGTAAATCGAGTATGTGTGTGGGGTGTTGTGTATGCCCCTACCATTTTCCATATGCTCTGCCTCACCAACACTGCCATCCGGCGTAGTCCTTTCGTAGTTGTCCTCTGGGAGTGGAAGGGCACCCAGCCGCGGCCCTGAAGAACTCTTACTGCTTGGTGTTTCTGACTCCTCCAGACCGCTGTCATAGCAACTCTGCAATGACCCTTGATGTGGGTCCTGAGGCTGACTCACAACTGAAAACGTCACTCTACGAAATGGCTGCAAAAGAAAAGATTCTGAATGTCACTTGAAAGGTAGGGTCTCCGAGAAAGCCATTCTTAACCAAGCAAAACAAAAAACATCAGGCAAAACACAGTAGACTCCCCCATACCTAAATGCTGGTTCAACAACTACACTTCATAACTGGTGCCATGATAACTATGAAGCTTCAATGGACTTCTGGTAGTCTGAGTGCTTTGAATGTCCCTGGGGCATGTACCCTACCTGCAGACATTTTAGAGCAGGCATAGGCAACCTTCGGCCCTCCAGATGTTTTGGCCTACAGATGTTTTTTCTTGGTTAAGAATGGCTTTCTCGGAGACCCTACCTTTAGGCATAGGCAACCTTCAGCCCTCCAAATGTTTTGGCTTACAACTCCCATGTTTCCTAGCTAACAGGACCAGTGGTCAGGGATGATGGGAATTGTAGTCCAAAACATCTGGAGGGCCGAAGGTTGCCTATGCCTAAAGGTAGGGTCTCTGAGAAAGCCATTCTTAACCAAGCAAACAAAATAAAAATAAAAAAATCAGGCAAAACACAGTAGACTCCCCCATACCTAAATGCTGGTTCAACAACTACACTTCGTAACTGGTGTCATAATAACTACGAAGCTTCAGTGGACTTCTGGTAGGCTGAGTGCTTTGAATGCCCCTGGGGCATGTAAAGGTGGCTGTACCCTACCTTGCAGACATTTTAGAAGTTGCTGAATACACCAGCTGTTCTCAGAGTGTGTGTTGGATGTGCCAAGGGTAATTGGTGGGAAGTTGGGTTTCCTGTACACTTGAGTGTTAAGCGGTCGAAAGTTAGTGGCTGAGTGTGCAAACTTTGTGTGAAAAGCGCTATGTTAAAAGTGATGAGAGGGAGGGAATGAAAGTTCAGTGTGTGGGGTTAGATCTGTGAGGACCCGTCCCCCCCAGGCATGTCATCACTTGATACTGGAGTCAAGTAATGAACATGCATGCAATGAAACCAGCCACAGGGACAACTGCCAGTAGATGTGCAACTCCTCAGTCAATACCCATCATTACTCATGGTCAACATATTGCAACTTTCCCTAACCCTGCTCCTCTTTGTTGGCTGACAGTAACTGAGATGGAGGAACTCACAAAGTCATTGAGGATTTCTAAACATTATGAGGAAGAAACAAAATAAAAAAAAAATCCTTCCAGTAGCACCTTAGAGACCAACTAAGTTTGTTATTGGTGTGAGCTTTAGTGTGCATGCACACTTCTTCAGATACCTGGTGATGTTGATAACCATGGGGATACCATTTTTAGCTGCATCCCCATGGGGGCTGCAATGGCTGCCAGGAAAGGAGAGTGGGTGAATTCCTAGACATGTATTTTCACCTGTGGGGCTCACACCCAAACCTTTGCTGCATTAGGATTCCTCTGTTAGGGACCAAAATGAATGCTGTGAGCCAAAAGTGAGTTTCTTATGACCTTAGGTGAAGTACACAGCTGAGTGCTGCCTGGTAATCAACATTTTTGGCACCTGGGTTATACTTGGGGAGAATCATGAGCTTATGGTAGGTCACTGTGCATGCCGTGACAGGAGCCATTTTGGAATCCCTCCTCTGTGCTGAAAACAAATGCCTTGGAATGCAAGATGTGTGTGTTCAATCCTACCACAATTTAAAATTGCACATCTGTCTCCACCTGAAAGGGCAGCTACAGAGGAAGGTCTCTGTAAAGCTGCAGGTTGTCCTATATTAAAGCAACTCAGGTGCAGAATTCTTCTGAATGATTTGGCCATAGACGAGTTTAGCATGAAACTTTCATGCTATCTGGCATAAAGCTCTTCTGAGGAAAGACCAAAACGATGTAAGATTTTATAGAGTCCATAAATGTTACAGTATAGTGTGGCTACCAGTAACACTAACACGCACGCGCACACACACACACACACACACACACACATTTTAAAGATCAATGGCTGTGGTTTTGAGAACTAGACCATGTAAGCAATATATAACAGAAGGGGGGAGAGAAAAGAAAACAGTTCAGTCACTCCGCTCCTTTGCCATAAAATTTAATGCTGAGAGATTGGATGTTTTGCCAGCTGACTAAATAAAGGCTTCAAACTACGGCCACCACAATCGACACCACACGCTTCCACTCGGATTGAGCATCCATTGGTTCTTATAGTTACAGACTTGTGTTATTTCAAAATTCAAATAGCCGACACTGTTAAAACTGTATTCAATGAACTCTGACACCCAAGGGCATTCCTGGAAATGGGAAGGGTAGGGATGGTGCGAGAATCCTGGCAATGAATCCTGTCAGCATTTCGTGGACGCTGAAGAGATACTGAGGGAAAGAACCCAGTGATCGTTTTCTTCCTCTTCCACAGTGATATTATTTTGCACAAGGGATGTCAAGTGTGTGAACAGGAAGCTCACAAACCCTGGCAGCAGATTTATTCATATTTTTCAGGAGCAGTGCGTGTTGCCCTGCCTGAAACCCTTGACTTCCTCACACACATTTCACTGCTCATATGAGCAGTTGACTGCCAGGAATGAAATTGGTGGCTGAAATTTATGTTTTGAAGTGGTTCAGGCCAAGGGTCCACGTGGCCTTGCATTCTGTTATCAGCAAGAGCCAACTAGATGCTTTTAAAGCAGAGGTGAGAAATCCCTGGAGCTCCAGATGTCATTGGACACCAACTCCCAACAGATCCAGCCAGCAAAAATACACAACATACTAACAGACAGAAAGAACAAACCCTCCATGAAGCCATCACCTACAATTCTGTGATTCTATGTCCTACTTCCCTCTTCCTGTTTGTCCCTAGCATCATCGATTTCCGTAAGTTGCTTAGAGACTTTTTCAGTTTGTGTTAACCAGCTAACAAGTTAAATAAATAAACGATCACAGTATGCTGCTTATGAATATGCAGATTCCATTGAGTTGACCACCCCCCCATGAATGTGCCTCATTCTATTCAGAGACTTTCCGGATGGCATTTTATCCATGACTAAAATTATGGACACACCTCACTGTACCCTGAAAAAGTATCATTTTTTGTTTGTTTGTTATGGGTGTGTTTTTTATTACCTTCCAGAATAATGAAGAGGTCTTCAGAAAACAAAATCAATAGTGCCTTCTGTAGTCTCATACTTCCTTCAGTGACCAATAGTGATGCTTCAGGGATTTCCCTCCACACTCATTGGCTCTAGCACAGGCTGCATCAGAAAATACCAGCAGGCCATTATTTCCTTCCTTCTCTATTTTGAATGTTTGCTGTAAGCCATTTGCTGTAATGTTTGCTGTAAGCTCATTGTGGGAAATGTTTGAATGTTTGCTGTAAGCTCATTGTGGGAAAGCAGCATATAAGTAAAACCAAGCAGTAAAGGTAAAGGAACCGCTGACCATTAGGTCCAGTCGTGGCTGACTCTGGGGTTGCGGCGCTCATCTCACTTTATTGGCCGAGGGAGCCGGTGTACAGCTTCCAGGTCATGTGGCCAGCATGACCAAGCCGCTTCTGGTGAACCAGAGCAGCGCACGGAAACGCCGTTTACCTTCCCACCAGAGCAGTACCTATTTATCTACTTGCACTTTGGCGTGCTTTCGAACTGCTAGGTTGGCAGGAGCAGGGACCGAGCAACGGGAGCTCACCCCATCGCGGGGATTCGAACTGCCAACCTTCTTATCGGCAAGTCCTAGGCTCTGTGGTTTAACCCGCAACGCAAGCAAGCAACAAACCCTTCCTCAGAATGTCAAGACTGTACATCAGCAAAAAGATGGTCAGTGTTAGGGTTTGAGGGGCATGTTGCTTTGAGATGAAGGCAGCAACATAATAACTAACATTTTTCAGTACAGTGGTACCTCTGGTTATGAACTTATTCGTTCCAGAGGTCTGTTCTTAACCTGAAACCATTCTTAACCTGAGGTACCACTTTAGCTAATGTGGCCTCCCGCTGCCGCCACGCCGCCAGCGCATGATTTCTGTTCTCATCCTGCGATAAAGTTCTTAACCCAAGGTACTAATTCCGGGTTAGCGGAGTCTGTAACCCAAGGTGTTTGTAACCCGAGGTGTTTGTAACCCAAGGTACCACTGTACATGTGCCAGCCTCCTCTCATAGCACACTAGTATACTCCAGTTCCTAATGTGGAAAAATCAGTGTTTTACATATAACACAATCCTATTCCATGTCTACTCAGGTGTAAGCCCCACTGAGTTCAGTGGGACTTACACCTATTATTCTTCCATACTTATTTTACATCTCTGTTTCTCTGGCATCGTTTCCTGCTCCTGGCTTATTTTTAAACAATTGTTCACACACACACACAGAGCATAGTAGTATTTGGGATGTATATTTCAGTTTGATGAGCAGATATATTGTATATTCACATGAATCTCACTGGGGTGCAAAAACCACAGCATTATTAAGGATGCACAGCAGTTGCCATCCAGGCCCGTGAAAGGAAGCACACAAAGAAAGGTCTTTGCACATTCATATTGAGCATGGTCTCATTCATAAAACATGTCTACCCACATTAGAAGTAGAACTTACTGCCAGCAGCCTTTCAACATGAGGTTTGACTGTACCACTTCGCAAAGGAATTTTATGACATATATGAATCTTTTTTTCAGGGATTCTCTGACTTGCCTAGTCCCAAGTCATCTAGGGCTTTACACACACTTAGACTGCATAGCACTCTATGCAGCCAAAGAACAGCCAAGTTTTTTAATATGCCGGGTGGCACTGTGGGTTAAACCACAGAGCCTAGGCCTTGCTGATCAGAAGGCTGATGGTTCAAATCCCCGCGACAGGGTGAGCTCCCATTGCTCGGTCCCTGCTCCTGCCAACCTAGCAGTTCAAAAGCACGTCAAAGTGCAAGTAGATAAATAGGTACCGCTCTGGCGGGAAGGTAAACGGTGTTTCCAAGCGCTGCTCTGGTTTGCCAGAAGCGGCTTAGTCATGCTGGCCACATGACCTGGAAGCTGCACGCCAGCTCCCTCGGCCAATAAAGCAAGATGAGCGCCGCAACCCCAGAGCTGGTCACAACTGGACTTAATGGTCAGGGGTCCCTTTACCTTTACATTTCCCACTGGAAATGGACTTGTGTGTCTAAGATTGTTTGGACCATGCTCCTTCCAATGTGTGATGCAAAAAGGCAACGGCAATCTTGCCCCCTCCTTTTCAGAGGGCGTAATGTTGATTTGCTACTGAGCTTTGAATGAATCACTATCAACATGCCTCCCATTTCTAATTAAATCAGTTTGAATATGGTGGAAGGTCTCAGTGGTGCTCCAGCCCCATGGAGAAAGAAATGAGGTGTGGCTCCTGCTGCTCAAACAGAAAATTCTCACATCCCACTGGAGGTATAACACTTCCAAAGAAGGAGAAAGACCATGCATTGCTTTTTATGCTTGGCTAATTCAAAAAGAAAACTCTCAGCATAGTTACATAATTCACATTAAAAAAAAAGTTTGGAACAAGTAAATTCCATGAAGCTTTGTTAGTCTCTTTACATTGTCAGGACTCACAAGCTATTTCTAGTGCTCTGACACGGCTGCTGCTACATTTATCTCTTCATTTTATTTCCATGTAAGCTGACCTGCTGACTGACTTGATTACAGTGGAGAGAAGATATTTTTGTTTTGGAAAAATATATATATATGCAGGCATATTATTCCCCCAGGTCATCTCAAGTTGCTAATAACAATCCAAAACATGGCCCAGAGATAATATGAACCAGAGAGCAACTCAGTTTCAAGGGGAAAGGGAGAAGGGACGGGGGAAGTCAATTGGATTCCTGTTCTTTTCGTGGACATGACACTTTGCAGAAGAAGGTGGGGGGATGCAAGAGAGTCACTAGTCCTGATTACTTTCCATCTACGGTTTGATGGGAGGGTTGAAGTAAGACAACAACCAAGGGAAGCAAGGGATGGATGCAACCAGGGTAAAATCCAGAGCATACATTTAAAGCACACTTTCACACCACTTCAAGAGTCAACAAACTGTTGACTCCTGGCCTTACAGATGTACGATTCCAAGCCCTCTTAGCTAACTACAGTTCCTAAGATTCTCTGTGGCTATTAAAGTGATATAAGAGCACTTTAAACGTATGGCATGACATTTTCTTCAACTGGGAAAGGAGTAGCAGAGGTTAAGTCAAAGCCTTCACACAAGAGATGGAACTTGAGGTAAAGTTTGAAGAGAGAGGGTCATACATGGGGTATTCTGGTAAAGTGGGCAGCAAAAGATAAAGGGTAGACCCAGTGGCACCCACACAGAAGAAAGACAATAGGACCCCCAAAATGCAGCAGGGCTGGCTGCTGCCCACATTTTCATAATACACATTGCCAGAGGTTCCCCTGTAAAACTAAGAAGATCAGAATCAAATATTTCTAACTGCATCTCTTCAAAGGCCCACTAAAGATATTGGGAGACATTTGAGGAACTGAGGGTAGGAGAGTCAGAAGACCAAACAAAATGTGGCCAGGGACCCCCGGGAGCTAAGAGAAGATAGGTGGGCTGAAAAAGAAGCAACTATTTCAGGAAGAATGAAGCAATAACAAAGTGACAGAATGTCAAAAGGGATAATGCAATGTTACAAGTTTGTGGGTACCAGGCCTAGCAATCTATCCCCAGGCCTAGCCATCATTAAATAAGCTAAGCTAACCAAAGTGTGGAAGTCAACTAAGTGTTACTCAGAGTATTAATGAATAACAGAATTTCTGAGTACTCAAAAATTAATGAACATGACACCAGTCTTTAACTGTTTTTATCAATAATGTTAATGTTTTAGTTGATTTTTTTTGTAAACTGTGTAGAGGTTTTCTAACAATCAAGTGATATTTATTTTATTTTATTTAATACAATTTATATAAGTTAGGTCTATTAAATTGCAAAGCGTCTGCACTGAGTAAAGCAAAGCAAAGTAACACCAAAAATGTTATTACATTTATATATCTAAAGAGTGCTCCCCCCCTTCTCATTTCTCATTACGAGTCACACAAGAGAGGGAAACAAATATTTCCCATAGATCCATTGCAAAAGACTACACAGGACACGTTGAATGAATGTGCTGTAATGTATTCTCTAACAAACAAACAGAAGTGCTAATAATTTGAACAGTAGGAAGGTGAGATTTCCTCTTATTGTAAAAGCTGTAGCTGCCCTGATCGAAATAAGATAGTTGGAGGGAAACAAAGGCTTGCCCCAATGTTGTTGCTGAGTTTTTAAGTCACAACTGGGCACATTAGAGTGTGTGACACCATTAAGTGGAACTTTCAACAACACAAATAAAACATAACCTGATATTAAGCACATGCTCTGGGGAGATACAAAGATATTAGATTGGTGTCTTGGCTTGACAGAAGAGTGATCAAGAACGGTAGTATATGACACAATGTGACCCATGGCACTGAACAGCCACAATCAATCCAGAATGTGAGAATGACTTGAAAAATCTGCAGTCTCAGTCACTGATTGCTGCAGTTCCCTTCCACCAGTACAAACAAGAGAGTATACCAGATAAGGAAGTAGCAAGGGGTAATTAATTTTCCAAGTCTCTAAAAGGAAGACAAAGAATGCAAGCTAAGTGTGTAGTGCAGAAGCTGATGACTTGGCCAATGAAATGGATATTATTTCAAAAAAAATTCTACCAGGAGATGGGTGTGTGTGCCAAATACCTATAGGGTAATTTAAATAGTTCTGATTTGGGCGGGACTTATTCATTCATTTGGTTGGTTGGTTAGTTAGTTAGTTAGTATACCGGCCTTCATCCACAGATCTCAGGGTGGGTAACAGCACAGAAACACATTTGATTCCAGGGATGCTGATCCCATTCATGTAAACTTCAGGCTAAGCTGTACAGAGGGTAGGACTCGAACCAATGGCTTAAGTTACAAGACAGGAGATTCCAACTAAACATACAGAAAAAACTTTCTGACAGTAAGAGCTGTTCAATAGTGGAACAGTCCCTCAGGGGGTTGTGGACTCTCCTTCCTTGGAGGTTTTTAAGCAGATGTTGGATGGCCACCTGTAACGGATGCTTTAGCTGAGATTCCTGCATTACAAGGGGTTGGTGTACCTTCCAACTCTACAATTCTATGATTCTATGACCAACACAGCTGGGGAACATGATTGTGGGGTACGTTTTCTGAGCAGGTTTCGTGATATGGAAGCGGAGTTGCCCCTGGAGAAGAGGCACCTGTCCTTTCTAAGGACATTTCCGTTTTACTCATATATAATGTTAGCAGGAATTGAGCTAGTTGCTTATGCAGAAGATTCCACATAACTTCTGTGCACATATGGATACCAGACACTCATTGGCCAGACCAGTAATGTGGCCCTTCTTTCAACATCCTCTTCTCCCCTTTCCCTCCCCAGTGGGTGGTAACTGAGTAGGAAAAGTGTCACCCAATTGCGCTACTCCATGCAGTTCCAATACTCATACTCATATTGCAGTGGTATGCAAACTTAGTACAGAAAAGCACCTTCATATCAGTATAAATGGGGCTTTCAGGACCTGGAGTGTAGTGTTTTACATCTTGCAACATGTGTGAGTTGGATTAAGGGAAGTGTTATGAGTGCCCGACAGCAGTGCTTTTCTTCTAAAAGAAAATGTTTAAGGGTACTCTCATTTTCCTACTCATTTTGAAATACTGCCCCTCAATGAGGCCTAACTTAGATTCACAAAATGGTTAGGGGTGTGCGTACCCCTGTGCCCCCCCCAGGAAAAAGCACTGCCCGACACTGCTAAGAAAAGCTGGGAGTAGATAGATACATCTTCTCAAACATCTGGTCTTGGAGGCCGGGAGCCTGAACACAGACAAATGTGGATGACAGAAGGCTTAGTCACTTGTTCTATTTTGAAAAAATAATAATAATACCAAATGATATCACATAATTGGTTGTAACAACGGGATTACTGCAGACTAAAACTACTTACAGTGGTACCTCGGGTTACATACACTTCAGGTTACATATACTTCAGGTTACAGACTCCACTAACCCAGAAATAGTACCTCAGGTTAAGAACTTTGCTTCAGGATAAGAACAGAAATTGTGCTCCGGCGGCACAGCGGCAGCAGGAGGCCCCATTAGCTAAAGTGGTGCTTCAAGTTAAGAACAGTTTCAGGTTAAGAACGGACCTCAGGAACGAATTAAGTACTTAACCCAAAGTACCACTGTACTGTAAACTTGATGTACATTGACAAAGCAAGATACATTACTGAGATTGCAAGATATATTCTCCAGCACTTCCATGGTTGCCCTCTTGCTGCTAGAACAGCTGAGCAAGGCAGGGTGGACACAGTGAGTGACCTACCAAGCTGAATGCAGCCTAAATTACCTGGCGTTGCTTCCTTCCTGGAAGCAACATCACAGAGGCCATGGCGCATGGATGGTGTGCTCTCTTCAGCTGGGTAGGTCATAAATTGGGCAGGGCTGATGTAATTACTCCTGGTCAGCAGTGGCACACAGATGCACAGTAGTTAATAGTAAGCTCAAGGAGTGTGCCAAGAAGGAATGAGCTGAGACTTGAGAGAATGAGGAAAGAAGATGGAAAGAAAGAGCTCCCTCTCACATCTCCTCCCCCCTTTGCCCTTTTGAACGTGGTTGGTTGAATTTAAATTTTGCTTTGCTTGTTGTCTCCTTAAAAATGTCTGTATTATATTGGAGCGGGGCATTTTTGCAGCAGTGTTCCAAAAATGTGCAGTTGAATCCTCTGGAAGCCTGTAGAAATTGTCCTGTCTGTTTCCAGAGGGCTTTGTGGGGTCATAACAGAACTTTGTTTGTCCCCCCCCCCCCCAATGCTGGCCGTTCTGTTCACATTGGTAAACTTTACTGTATTTTAAATATTTAATTTTACAACAATAGATTTTATTCTTATAAGCCACCCAGCGGACCTACTGAGCAGAAAACGCGGGATGTAATTAATCATCCCTTTGCCTATATAAATTTACACAGCATTAACATTAGCTAATAATTGCCATCTTAAGATGCCAATTGATCCCAGTGTCAGCTCTCCAGATGGTCTGCAGGTAATAGGGGATGGGGAGCATTTATGCATCCAATATAAATCACCACTTTCATTTGGAGAACAAGGGAGGTGGAGTGTTGAGATGCCAATACATTTCTTCCATTTGTTCATTCACGGGACTGTTAAAATAAATATGGAGTTCTGCTAGCATAAAACACCAGAGGGCTATGATGAACCAAAACCAGGATCTCTTCCCAGCCAGGCTGACCTACTTTGAAGAACAGCCAAGTGCCCTAGCAAACCTCAATCCAGCTCTCCTTCACAGCATAGTTGGCAAGAGAGAGCTATCAAAGAGAACAAAGGAGCCCAGATGTTATTTAAAGCCAGGTCTTTATTCTTCTGAATATTTGGGTCAACTCATGCATTTTACTGTCCAAACAGGTGAAACTTATCTATTCTCTCTTCTAATATAAGGAATACCAAGCCAGTTAGGAACGATTAGCTACGACATGGGGAGAGCAGTAACACTGACCTGCAATGATTGATATCGTTTCTTCTCTGAATTTAGCAGCTCTCATAGTATATCTGCCCACCCCCCTCCACTAAAAGCATATTGGGGTTCCCTCTTCTCCCTTGCCGGTCTAAGGAATTATTTGACCCAAAATTAACACACATAATGTTCAACTCACTAAAGCTGTTCCTCAGAATTTAAATGAGTAGGACGTTAATACCAGCAAAAGCCTTTCCCAGTGAATGATGTGCATGTTAATTGCTATTTTGCAGCTTTTATTACAGCCCTAGAGTGATTGCAGATCGGGAAAATTTGAACTCTGCATTGCACATCTTTTCGAAGGAGCAGAGCTCCTCAGTCTAATGCGTTATAAATTTCTCATGCCTCATAGAGTAAGGTCACGATTAAAGAAACAGACCTCAGTGTTAATATATTTGCTATCTGAACTACCACAGATAACAACTTCTGCAGTCCTGGTTATGGTCAAATGTAATTGCTAGTAAATCCTGGTGTTGGAACTGAAATATGTATGTCAACTTAAAAGTTTAAATCATAAGATAATAGAAGCATTCATTATTGGAAACAAAAAAAATGGATGACTCAGTAAGATGGTTATAATCATTGTCTGGAGACAGGCATTTTTTATTTATTTTTAGTTTAATTTTTTGGAGAGAAAATTAAAGGTATGGTGATAAACTATGTTTATCCATAATTTGCATTTCTTTGATCCAACTGAAGTTTCTCTAATCAGGCACTTCACCACTATAAAAAACTGTTCGACCAAATAGTGAGAGAATGAAAAATACGTGTAGACACTGTAGATGACAGTGACTTCACCTTTCTAGAAGAACTAATCTGTGTCTTCATCCACAGTGTTCTGAGAGTGGGCTGAAGGCACCTGATGTAGCTAAACCCATGAAACTAAGCAATTCTGACCCTCTTTGCTGCTGAAATGGAAAATCAGCCGAGAATGCTATGAGAGCAGCTCTGAATTATTTTGCAGCAACAAACCTGCTGAAGCAATAAGGCAAGTGAATGCCAACATTTAATACACAATGCACCAAACTGTCCAATACCACCCCTTGTTCTGGCTGGAGAACAAGAGAATGTGAAGTGAGGGGATGGATTGCTAGTCAGACCAGGGGAATTCTAGCCAGTAGCAATCACCCTGTTGTCCCTGATCCATTCCAACCTTCCTCACATTCTCTCCTGATGAATTAGGGCTTTTATGCAACCATGTCTGGCACATAACAGTGATATGCACCCAAAATTTCCTTGTGATAATCCTGAGTGACTAACGTTTATCACAACAGTAAACGTAAATCCAAGAAGCATGTTAAAATAGCTCAGAGAAGTGATCCACAGTAGGAAAACTAAAAGCAGGTGCCCTGAAATGCCAATTAAAATACCTGCCATATTCAACTTTCTGAGAGACCTACACCATTTTGAACATCAGTATAAAGTGCATCTCAAAACTCTGGGCCATAACAATGAAAAGCCTGTTAAATAAGTTGATTGTTATATTGCTTTTATATCTCCAATGTAATTCACATATATTAGCATTTTCCAGTTCTTCTCATCAGTGCTATCATACTAGAAAAAGAAGTGCCGGAACTCACCATGAACATTTCCCTTGTTTTCGTTGAATGCCAATGACACCCACCTGAGAGGTGCCAAAACTGATTTCCTCCTGAAAGAATGCCCTGCTTACAATAACCACATAGGGCAAGCCAGGGAATCTGCTGAGAGAGAGAATGTAGGCTTGCCCAATGCCACTTTTGTGGGCTTATGTCAGAGGTGAATTTTCAACATGGGATTTCCTGATTCATAGTTCAGATTTCTAGCCAGCAATCAAGGCCCGCTCTCCACAACTTCTATTGCAAAAATAAGACTGAGCAGGCTGTTGAAAGAGCCTTAAAATACACGGATGCTTATATAGAAAGAGGTGGTCTATGATGAATGAGATTCTGAACAAGGTGCTACACACCAACTAATACAATCTTGTTTGTTATTTCAGTTAGGCCCTGTGTCCCTGGATTAGCTCCTTTATCATATGAATTCAATTCCCCATCACTGCAACAAAGCTTATCACTTGACAGCCTCCTGCTTCACTAGTTTGAGCTTAAACTCCTGGAGGGTGAGAGGAATGGCAATTGGTGGGGCCATCTCTCCACTCCCCCCCCCCCATGTGTTTATTTAATCTGCCGCAGAACTCTGGAAAAAGGCTAAGAAGGTTATAGCGCTGTTGAACATTTTTCTGGAAAGTCTGGTTTCAACACAGAATAATCACCCTAGTATAACTCCTGTATCTAAAGCAAAAACCAGAAGAGGAAGTAGACTAACTGGAGCCACCTCGTTATGAATGGTTTAGAAAATTGCTGTACCTCCTGGTGCCTTTATATTATTTATGGTTCTGTCCTTTGAGCCACTTCCTCAATCTTCACACAATCATTATTACTAACTTGTTCAAAAATCCAATACAGTTCACAACCATGTTCATCTTGGCCTTTGCTGCAAAAAGGCTGGATGGGTAAGTGTGTTTGAGATCTAAGTAATTCACAAAAGAATCATTGCCAACATTTTCTTGGTCAGCTACTGAAAGAAATCTAGCCTTGGAGGGCTCACACAGTAGCTCCAAATTGCCTGCTGTTTGAACGATAATGGAAAAGCTTCATTAGTCCTCTTTGCAGTAACCCAACTTAGATCTTGCAATTGCTTTTCACGACTCTGGTTTTTCAAAGTGGGCTTCTTTTGTCTCTCTTTTTTTCTAGTGAAATATAATGTATTCTGACTCTCAGATTATCTGGGAACCCTCCTGCCTAAGGATGCATAATGAATACCGGTACTTAGGGAATTTCACTAGGGCTATCATACCTCTGTTTCCAGAAATTTCCTTTGATGTGTCCAACATCTGAAATTCACTTCAGATTTTTGCATTAGACAAAGTTTGGGTGGAACGCCATGAAGACAGTCATAGATTACTATACAAAATAGTATTGCCGCCCCCAGTGCCAACTGCTCCAATGCTGTATGCTTCCCAACATAATAAATAAAGGGTTTTGTCACTACTAAATCTCCAAATCTCCAGTACTTGAACTTCAGCTGTTGTTTCCTATGTATGCACATCAATTACCAAGAGCCAGTATGGTGCGGAAATTAGAGACTGTTTGACCAGGATCACATCCACCCCACAGATTTTAAAGCACTCCTCTCATTGAAACAAAAATAATGGCGGTTTAATTTGTCAATTATACACGGAACACAATAAATGGGATCTGAGAATAGTCAAAATGTGAAACCTGTAGGTACAGACAGGAGTTGTGTGGGCTGCTTTTCTGCTCGAGTGGGTAGTGATTGTTCATTAATATTTTGTTTGTTAGTCATTCAACAAGCTGCCAGCAATTAAGAATAGTTACAAAGGAAAGGATAATGACATGTTTTTGTCTCACGCATACACAACACACACACACACACACACACACACACACACACGGAACAGAATTCCCCATGCTTTCAAGAAATACCTTGAAATTGTGTGATTGGTTGCTGCTGCTCTTATCACCCCCTCCAGAGATCTACCCTAAACAGAGGTCTAAGCCCCTGTGTTTACATCACAGTCGGAAGCCTTTTTTGACATTGATCGGTGCTGGGAGACACATTGTGATTGTGTCAAAACATCTTTGTTTACTTCTTGAGCATCTGTGATTGGGTAAGCAGCAACAGCAGTAGAAGAAATAATGGCTTAATAAAGACTGTCCGGGGAAGATAATTTAGCTTTTATTTATTTTTTAATCATATTGTGTTGGCAGTGGCTGTGTATGTATGACCCATAGGTGCCGGCTCATAGGAGCAGAAGCACTTTTGGCCACCCCATACTGTATATTTTTGAGGGGGCCAAGCCCCCTCAGTGTTCAGAGGGCATTCGGATCCACCCTGTGGCTCCTCGTGACGTCGCGCCAGGCCCCCTCAATCATGCTGAGAAGCTGGCACGTCTGGTATTACCATATTCAAAGAGCAACGGGAGCGTGTTCTCTCTTAACACTAGCGGGCGGCTGTCCCAACTACAGCACTCGTGGATAGAGAACAGTGCAAACAACGGGGGAGGAGTGAGGAACTTTGCTGCATTATAATTGCATTCATTTTAACCTTCAGCAGGATAGGACAGTGAAATTGAGTAGCTTTATGTTCTAGTCAATGTCACTCTGGTGACAGTTGTGGGACACTGAATGACAAATTACAGTGGTACCTGTGGTTGCAAACGGGATCCGTTCCGGAGGCCTGTTCGCAACACGAAAAGAGTGCAACCCGCAGTGGCGCGTCTGCGCACGTGCAGGTTGTGATCTGCCACTTCTGCGCATGTGCGAGCAGTGAAACCCAGAAGTAACTCTTTACAGTAGTTCCGGGTCGCCATTGGACGTAACTTGACAGAGCGTAACATGAAGCGGATGTAACGTGAGGTATGACTGTACTACCACAAGAGTCCATGATAGATAGCGAAAAAAAGGGGGGAGGCCTGTAAGAGTATTTATTTAAGGGCTCTATGTCTGGATTTAAAAAAGCTAAAAACCCATCATAATACAGTGGTACCTCGGGTTACATACACTTCAGGTTACATACGCTTCAGGTTACAGACTCCGCTAACCTAGAAATAGTGCTTCAGGTTAAGAACTTTGCTTCAGGATGAGAACAGAAATTGTGCTCCAGCGGCACAGCAACAGCAGGAGGCCCCATTAGCTAAAGTGGTGCTTCAGGTTAAGAACAGTTTCAGGTTAAGTACGGACCTCCGGAACGGATTAAGTACTTAACCCGAGGTACCACTGTAAGTTAATGTTTTACATTATTGTTATTTTTATGCAGTTTTAAAATTATCTGGGCATGGTGAGTTCAAAGTTTATATATTGCAGGAGTGCCCACTGTACATCTGAAGGTTCCTTTCAGTTTTCTCTAAAGAGTTCTAGAAATCTGTAACCAGTTGGAGACCATGATGGGAGAGAAAACATAAATGTATGTAATATTGGAATAAGAGCTATACTGGAGATAGCTCAGTCGGTAGAGCATGAGACTCTTAATCTCAGAGTCATGGGTTTGAGCCCCACATTGGGCATCACAGGAGGTTGAACTAGATTATCCATGTGGTCCCTTCCAACTCTATGATTCTGTGACTTTCTGGGGGGGGGGAATAGTGGGGAACCTGTGGCCCTCCAGATCTTGCTCAGTTTCAAAACTCATCAACTCCAGCCAGTATGGTCAAAGGTCAAGGTCTATATGATATAATTTTATCTACTTGTGGATTCAAAATCCATTCCTAGGCTCAAAATTATAGCATTCAAAAGTATAGGGTACCACCAGCAGTCTTTTGTAGGCAGATGGGTCTTTCTGGAAAGGATGTGGACAAAATAATAGCCATATTCTAGAACAGCATATCGAACAAGCAGCATCTAACCATAGAATGTCTCACTTTATTTTAGCATCCTGTAATTATACTTCTATTCATTTTACATTATATTCACATTTCTATAGATACGGTTCCTCTTGTTTAGTTATACAAACTATATGTATTTGTGAAATGTATGGTGCAGCAGTATTTATTTTAATTAAACTAATTCAGGAAATAATACAGATTGAGTCAGTATGTTTGCCCCACATTGTCACAACAATATGAAGACCATACCATGCAAGGGAACAGGGATAAAGTACTCTCTGGTTTTGCAAATACGGTTTTCATAAATATACTGAATATGTGCAATTGCACACAGAAAACCAACAAAAATGAATGAGATGTAAGGAAATATAAGCTCTAATTGATTTTGTCTCTTGACAGCTAGTCCCACAATTTAACCAGGATGTTTCTCAGAGATGTGAGACAGAAATACTACAAGAACTGGTCAAATCCAGCAATGAAAACAAAAACAAAAACCACAAGTCTTGTGATCCAAGAGAGTAATAACTTTAGATCTTAAAAAGTCTTATAATTCCATCAGGTTTCAAGAAGTCAAATTATTATATTTATGTACAGATTTATATGCTGATATTAACAGCCAATCTAAGCCACTGAACTCTAACTGTTCAGTGAATTAGTTTTTAGTAAGTAATTTATTTCTGCTTCCTGTTTTATTGCACAGATTGAAAACCAAAGTATGAAATCACCATGAAAAATATCTTTGCTGATGTGACCATAGAGACAAAACATTAAAATGCTGGACATGCACGTCTCTATAGGACCAGCCCAAGACATTTTGGCACCTAAGGTAAACCACAAAATGGCACCCATCCCCCTCCCATTGGATAAGAAGGAGTGAGTGAAGATCTACATCAGAAACAGGGAGTGGGGTGAAGATCTACCTCAGGAACAAGCAGGGAATTAAATCAATCTTGCCCAAAGGTTGAAGTGGGAATCAAAGGCTGACATGGTGCAGAGGAAGGGGCCTGCTCCAAATCACAGCGGGCAGGTGCAGAAGAACCCAGAAGACCCCAAAGGGCAGACCTCATCAATTCCACCCTAGAGGTGGGAGGAGACCAGAAGCCCCTCCTACTCACTGAGAGGCCACTTTAGAGGCAGCATTGGGGCAGGGGGAGCTGCAGAGGTGGTGGCAGATCTGACCTCCATGGAGTGTGCTGCAGACATTGAAGTCACTGTGTCAGCAGCAACAGGTGATGCATTCCCTATGGACCCTGCTGCCCCTATGGATCCTGCCGCTTGAGGTGGTCACCTCCCCTTGCTTCATGGGTGGACCAGACCTGTGTCTCTGTAAACCATCTCTGCTGTTTATTGTCCAAAGCACAGGTCTGAAGGTAGACTGGTAATTAGATAAGCAGTATTAAAGCTAGGCCAAAATTTTCTCTCCACCCACCCCACCCCCGTTGCCACCTGAGAAATTTTATGCTGCTTTCTGGGGAGGGGAGAAATTTTACCAGTCTTTACAACAGGGGAGTTCTGGTTAAATTATGGTTTTTTGCCAGGTAGGAAGCTTTTGGGAGAACTTCATGCCACTTCCCACCTGAAAAACCATGGAATGCAAGTTCCTGCCAGCCACTCTTTCCAGAATACCTTGGGAGCAACAGGATGTGATGCAATGTCCAAAGACATTCCAGGAACCATAAGTGGCAGAAGGAGTTACACTGAGCTTTCCAAGAAAAACAACAACAAAATGGAAAACCGTTGACCACTTCATAAAGTTATATAAGGAAAGCAGACCTTCTGAGAGTGGAGAACTGTATTCCACCATCAGCCCTCAATGATTTTTTAAGAGGATTTCAGTTTGTCCCCATTCAATGAACGCTTAAAAAACAACAACAACACAACTTTAACCACCATTAAGCAAAAGAAACTGGAACTTCCATCATGTTGTTCAATATTATATTGAAGACAGGACACCCATTGGAACCACTCCCCACTTTTTAATGTACAGTGATACCTCGGGTTACAGACGCTTCAGATTACAGAAGCTTCAGGTTACATAGTATCTCAGGTTAAGAATGCTACTTCAGGATGAGAACAGAAATTGCATGGTGGTGGCGCGGCGGCAGCAGGAGGCCCCATTAGCTAAAGTGGTACCTCAGGTTAAGAACAGTTTCAGGTTAGGAATGGACCTCCAGAACGAATTAAGTTCTTAACCCGAGGTACCACTGTAATAGCCTCACAACTGTGTCTTTCAAGGGTGAAGGAATTCTGAAGGTAGGTGTTAATCACCTTCTAAGATCAACCTACATGGATTCAGCAAGGACAGATGAGAGTCAGGGACACAAGCAGTAGGCTAGATCTTTTCACATCATTGGGCAGTGCCAAATGATACACATCTGAAGCACAACTAAGACGTTCTGCTACTTTCGTACAAAAAGGTTTGACGAATGTGTGTATGTTTAGCAGGTTGGAATATGTGCTCCTTTAAGCTTAAACTCCTTAAAAATAAGGCAAGAAAGGGGAGGCAAGAATACGATATTCTGCTTCATATAACTATCCAACACTTGATTTATGGAGCACTTTGTTTTATGCATCTGGTGAAGGATGAAATTCACATTATAGTTCAAAGATTAATCGCTTCATGATCATAAAGTCTTCCAACAACCATCACTGTCAATCAAATGTTTATAGACATATTTAGCTATAAACACATTATCAACTTTGCTCATGAACAGATCCGAAAAACTTTTAACACAAGTTCGTAAACTTTAATGTGCATCCCTTGATGCTATTGTGACAGTCCTGGCTGGTAAATTTCAAGGTTGCAGGGAGAAAAAAAGCCAGCAATTTATTGGCTTTACTAAAGCAAGAGGCAAACCAACTCATGTCTCTTGTGATTGACTTGCATTCTTTCTACACACCAGATCAGGTTATATCTAATTTGTACAACTTGCAAATATCTTTTTTCCAGGAGGATCAATGTTTTCACAGTGAGATTCAGTGATCTCGTATTCATTGTCATGAACAAAGACTTAATTTATCCCCATGAGAAGTCATCTGAAATTTGTCATGTTTGGTAGTTTTTAATTAAATTAGCACAAAAGATTAAAAGGTTATATAGAGTTCACATAAGATGTTTGTAAATCATTTGAAAATTCAACAAAAGAGAGAGATTTTGCTAGAGTAGGTTTTTGTACAAAATAGGGATTTGCTGAACTGCCCCGAGAAATTCCATTAGTTCTTTTCATTTTGTTCTATTTTGATTTTTCATTCCCTTAAAGAATTACTGTTTGGGGGGGGCGGGCAGGGAGCGAGGCAGAATCTCCAGATTTTGCTTTAGTCACTGTGTTCTCATTTGCATGTAATTCTAAGTCAAACAATGTCTTAGTGTGAACAAGCAGATTCCTGGAGAAGAGATTGCAGCTGATTTGCCGCTCGCCAGCTGTTCTGTGCTACATTGCTTCACACGAATCCATAGCTTGGTTTAGCATGTCATTTGAACCTCGGCTAATGGTTTAGGTCTCCCAGAAAAACAATGAGCCGTAAACAACAGGACAAATCTTGCTTATAGCTCATGGCTTTTTGGGGATAGAACTAACTATTAGCCTGGGTTTGCATGATGCAGTAATTCAAACCATGGCTTAAGCTCAGCTGAGCAATCAAGGAAGGACACAGCAACCAAAATTCCCTCTCCAACAGCACCTGTTTGATTGGTTACACCAGGCATGCCCAACTTTCAAGAGACTGGGATCTACTCTCACTATTAAAAAAAATAACTGGCAGTGATCTACCCATTGGATTGACCAGATTGACCCATTGGATTGACCAGATTGGACATACCTGGGTTACACTAAGTCATGGTTTGGCTGATTGTTACATGCAAACTGGGCCACACTGAAGGAAGATCACAATCAACATCATAGTGTTTATGCTTCACAGGATGCGTTTCAGTATAACCTTAATTCCAAGCACCCCAGCCATTAAATATTAGTATGATAAAACAGTGATTCGGAATCTTCTTTAAGAGGAAACCCATGAATGTGAGAGCCACTGCCATGTGCACCATTTCAAATGCATTTCCAATGCTAAAGAATTGCAGGGATATTCCACCCAATGAAAAACCAAAAGATATTACGGGCATTTTGAGAGGACACGCAATTCATATGACTAATAGGCCAAACCATTATTACAATAGTAATCAGGAGCTTTTTTTGTTGTTTAGTTGTTTAGTTGTGTCCGACTCTTCGTGAACCCATGGACCAGAGCATGCCAGGCACTCCTGTCTTCCACTGTCTCATGCAGTTTGGTCAAACTCATGTTAGTCACTTCGAGAACACTGTCCAACCATCTCACCCTCTGTCATCCCCTTCTCCTTGTACCCTCAATCTTTTCCAACATCAGGGTCTTTTCCAGGGAGTCTTCTCTTCTCATGAGGTGGCCAAAGTATTGGAGCCTCAGCTTCAAGATCTGTCCTTCCAGTGAGCACTCAGGGCTGATTTCCTTCAGAATGGAGAGGTTTGATCTTCTTTCAGTCCATGGGACTCTCAAGAGTCTCCTCCAGCACCATAATTCAAAAGCATCAATTCTTCGGCGATCAGCCTTCTTTATGGTCCAGCTTAGGCAGACACAAAAATGATGAGGAGATTTGGGTGACTGAACATGGAGTGACTGAACATGGAGTGTCCTTTACTTATACTGTTGAGAAG